TGCAAGAAATATAATGTAAGCTATAATAAAAATATTTGAGACGTTCTCTCTATTCACTGATACTGTTGTCCACAATATCTATGCAAGAAATATAATGTAAGCTATAATATAAATATTTGAGACGTTCCCTCTATTCACTGATACTATTGTCCACAGTATCTATGCAAGAAATGCATGTGTATAATGTAAGCTATAACATAAATATTTGAGGGCGTTCTCTCATTCGATGAAACTATTGTCCACAGTATCTATGCAAGAAATATAATGTAAGCTATAACATAAATATATGAGACGTTCCCTCTATTCACTGATACTATTGTCCACAGTATCTATGCAAGAAATACATGTGTATAATGTAAGCTATAACATAAATATTTGAGGCGTTCTCTCTATTCACTGATACTATTGGACACAGTATCTATGCAAGAAATATAATGTCAGCTATAATATAAATGTTTGAGACGTTCTCTCTATTCACTGATACTATTGTCCACAATATCTATGCAAGAAATATAATGTAAGCTATAATAAAAATATATGAGACGTTCTCTCTATTCACTGATACTGTTGTCCACAGTATCTATGCAAGAAATATAATGTAAGCTATAACATAAATATATGAGACGTTCCCTCTATTCACTGATACTATTGTCCATAGTATCTATGCAAGAAATACATGTGTACAATGTAAGCTATAACATAAATATTTGAGGTGTTCTCTCTATTCACTGATACTATTGGACACAGTGCCATGACGTTCTCTCTATTCACTGATACTATTGTCCACAGTATCTATGCAAGAAATACAATGTCAGCTATAATATAGATATTTGAGACGTTCTCTCTATTCACTGATACTGTTGTCCACAGTATCTATGCAAGAAATATAATGTAAGCTATAACATAAATATATTAGACGTTCCCTCTATTCACTGATACTATTGTCCACAGTATCTATGCAAAAGTACATGTGTATAATGTAAGCTATAATATACATATTTTAGACGTTCCCTCTATTCACTGATACTGTTGTCCACAGTATCTATGCAAGAAATATAATGTAAGCTATAATATAAATATTTGAGACGTTCTCTCTATTCACTGATACTATTGTCCACAATATCTATGCAAGAAATATAATGTAAGCTATAATATAAATATTTGAGACGTTCTCTCTATTCACTGATACTGTTGTCCACAATATCTATGCAAGAAATATAATGTAAGCTATAATATAAATATATGAGACGTTCTCTCTATTCGATGATACTATTGTCCACAGTATCTATGCAAGAAATATAATGTAAGCTATAATATAAATATTTGAGACGTTCCCTCTATTCACTGATACTATTGTCCACAGTATCTATGCAAGAAATACATGTGTATAATGTAAGCTATAACATAAATATTTGAGGCGTTCTCTCTATTCGATGATACTATTGTCCACAGTATCTATGCAAGAATATAATGTAAGCTATAACATAAATATATGAGACGTTCCCTCTATTCACTGATACTATTGGCCACAGTATCTATGCAAGAAATACATGTGTATAATGTAAGCTATAACATAAATATTTGAGGCGTTCTCTCTATTCACTGATACTATTGGACACAGTATCTATGCAAGAAATATAATGTAAGCTATAATATAAATATTTGAGACATTCTCTCTATTCACTGATACTATTGTCCACAGTATCTATGCAAGAAATATAATGGAAGCTATAATATAAATGTTTGAGACGTTCTCTCTATTCACTGATACTATTGTCCACAATATCTATGCAAGAAATATAATGTAAGCTATAATAAAAATATATGAGACGTTCTCTCTATTCACTGATACTATTGTCCACAGTATCTATGCAAGAAATATAATGTAAGCTATAATATAAATATTTGAGCATTTCCCTCTATTCACTGATACTATTGTCCACAGTATCTATGCAAGAAATATAATGTAAGCTATAATATGAATACTTGAGAAGTTCTCTCTATTCACTGATACTATTGTCCACAGTATCTATGCAAGAAATATAATGTAAGCTATAATATAAATATTTTAGACGTTCCCTCTATTCACTGATACTGTTTTTCCACAATATCTTTGCAAGAAATATAATGTAAGCTATAATATAAATATTTGAGACGTTCTCTCTATTCGATGATACTATTGTCCACAGTATCTATGCAAGAAATATAATGTAAGCTATAATATAAATATTTGAGACGTTCCCTCTATTCACTGATACTATTGTCCACAGTATCTATGCAAGAAATGCATGTGTATAATGTAAGCTATAACATAAATATTTGAGGCGTTCTCTCCATTCGATGAAACTATTGTCCACAGTATCTATGCAAGAAATATAATGTAAGCTATAACATAAATATATGAGACGTTCCCTCTATTCACTGATACTATTGTCCACAGTATCTATGCAAGAAATACATGTGTATAATGTAAGCTATAACATAAATATTTGAGGCGTTCTCTCTATTCACTGATACTATTGGACACAGTATCTATGCAAGAAATATAATGGAAGCTATAATATAAATATTTGAGACGTTCTCTCTATTCACTGATACTATTGTCCACAATATCTATGCAAGAAATATAATGTAAGCTATAATAAAAATATATGAGACGTTCTCTCTATTCACTGATACTATTGTCCACAATATCTATGCAAGAAATATAATGTAAGCTATAATATAAATATTTGAGAAATTCCCTCTATTCACTGATACTATTGTCCACAGTATCTATGCAAGAAATATAATGTAAGCTATAATATGAATACTTGAGAAGTTCTCTCTATTCACTGATACTATTGTCCACAGTATCTATGCAAGAAATATAATGTAAGCTATAATATAAATATTTGAGAAATTCCCTCTATTCACTGATACTGTTTTTCCACAATATCTTTGCAAGAAATATAATGTAAGCTATAATATAAATATTTGAGACGTTCTCTCTATTCGATGATACTATTGTCCACAGTATCTATGCAAGAAATATAATGTAAGCTATAACATAAATATTTGAGACATTCTCTCTATTCGATGATACTATTGTCCACAGTATCTATGCAAGAAATATAATGTAAGCTATAACATAAATATATGAGACGTTCCCTCTATTCACTGATACTATTGTCCACAGTATCTATGCAAGAAATACATGTGTATAATGTAAGCTATAACATAAATATTTGAGGTGTTCTCTCTATTCACTGATACTATTGGACACAGTGCCATGACGTTCTCTCTATTCACTGATACTATTGTCCACAGTATCTATGCAAGAAATACAATGTAAGCTATAATATAGATATTTGAGACGTTCTCTCTATTCACTGATACTGTTGTCCACAGTATCTATGCAAGAAATATAATGTAAGCTATAACATAAATATATGAGACGTTCCTCTATTCACTGATACTATTGTCCATAGTATCTATGCAAGAAATACATGTGTACAATGTAAGCTATAACATAAATATTTGAGGTGTTCTCTCTATTCACTGATACTATTGGACACAGTGCCATGACGTTCTCTTTATTCACTGATACTATTGTCCACAGTATCTATGCAAGAAATACAATGTCAGCTATAATATAGATATTTGAGACGTTCTCTCTATTCACTGATACTGTTGTCCACAGTATCTATGCAAGAAATATAATGTAAGCTATAACATAAATATATTAGACGTTCCCTCTATTCACTGATACTATTGTCCACAGTATCTATGCAAGAAGTACATGTGTATACTGTAAGCTATAATATACATATTTGAGACGTTCCCTCTATTCACTGATACTGTTGTCCACAGTATCTATGCAAGAAATATAATGTAAGCTATAATATAAATATTTGAGACGTTCTCTCTATTCACTGATACTATTGTCCACAATATCTATGCAAGAAATATAATGTAAGCTATAATATAAATATTTGAGACGTTCTCTCTATTCACTGATACTGTTGTCCACAATATCTATGCAAGAAATATAATGTAAGCTATAATATAAATATATGAGACGTTCTCTCTATTCGATGATACTATTGTCCACAGTATCTATGCAAGAAATATAATGTAAGCTATAATATAAATATTTGAGACGTTCTCTCTATTCGATGATACTATTGTCCACAGTATCTATGCAAGAAATATAATGTAAGCTATAATATAAATATTTGAGACGTTCTCTCTATTCACTGATACTGTTGTCCACAATATCTATGCAAGAAATATAATGTAAGCTATGATATAAATATTTGAGACGTTCTCTCTATTCACTGATACTATTGTCCACAGTATCTATGCAAGAAATATAATGTAAGCTATGATATAAATATTTGAGACGTTCTTTCTATTCGATTATACTGTTGGACACAGTGCCATGACGTTCTCTCTATTCACTGATACTATTGTCCACAGTATCTATGCAAGAAATATAATGTAAGCTATAATAAAAATATATAAGACGTTCTCTTTATTCACTGATACTATTGTACACAGTATCTATGCAAGAAATATAATGTAAGCTATGATGTAAATATTTGTTAAGTGGTTGTTGAAACTTTTGAGTGAGTAAGTTTAGATTTACGCCATGTTTAGCAATATTCCAGCAATATCATGGAGGGGGACACCAGAAATGGGTTTCACACATTGTTCCCCTGTGGGGAATTGAAACTGGGCCTTTGGCGTGACGATTGAATGCTTTAACCATTGGGACGCATGTATGCACACACGCACGCACGCATGCACATCCAGGGAAGCTACAGTGCCATGATTTTTATTCTTTATTTTATTCTCACATACATCCCATCTGAGTTATCAAACCAGTGGCTCTCTCATCAATGCCAAATGAATTGATTAGGTGTTGAGATAATCGAAACACCAGGGGAGATTTATAGGAAATAGGGAGGTTTGAGTTAACGGTCTCCATTGTTCCTCATGCTTTAAGCATGTTGCAGGTAATCTGGACCTGATGGAGTATGTCCTGGAGAGGCAGCCGGACCTCAGCCTGCAGATTGACCAGCCTGACAGTCGGGGGGACTCACCCCTCCACCTGTGTGTGAAGAGCCTGGCCAAGAGTGTCACCCACAGACGTGATCTGCTCGGGCTGCTGCTGGGGCTGGGATGCTGTGTCAGTGTCCGTGATGGTCGAGGGAAGACTGCTGTGCAGTATCTTGATACTGAGGATCCATGTCATCAACTACTGGAACATGCATCACGATATGCAGGTATTGTGTAGGGCTTCAGTTCAGCATGCATCATGAGATGCAGGTATTGTGTAGGGGTTTAGTTCAGCATGCATCACTATATGCAGGTATTGTGTAGGGGTTTAGTTCAGCATACATCACTATATGCAGGTATTGTGTAGGGGTTCAGTTTAGCATGCATCATGATATGCAGGTAATGTGTAGGGGATTAGTTCATATGCAGGTATTGTGTAGGGGTTTAGTTCAGCATGCATCACGATATGCAGGTATTGTGTAGGGGATTAGTTCAGCATGCATCACGATATGCAGGTATTGTGTAGGGGATTAGTTCAGCATGCATCACGATATGCAGGTATTGTGTAGGGCTTGAGTTCAGCATGCATCACGATATGAAGGTGTTGCTTAACAATTCAGTTCTGCATATGTAGCTGTTATGCTGTCATTTGAGAATGCCTTTGATTTACAGGTGTTACACAGCATGTAGAAGATGCAAAACAGTATAATGCAGTGTTGTGGAGCGAGTAGTGATGTAGCGCAGTTGTTTGCAATGAAGTATCAAGTGTCCACTGGCACTGTATGAGGTAGATGACAATTCCACACAAGTATAAAGGCTACAGGAAATGAGTTCCTTGTAACAACATTCCCTGTGTGTACCAGCTAGCATTGAGCGAGTTTGGTTTTATGCCACTTTTAGCAATATTCCAGCAATATCACAGCAGGGAATACCAGAAATGGGCTTCACACATTGTACCCATGTGAGGTCTACCAAAAGTAGGACATACACAAAACTGTAAAATATTGTTTAGAACATGAGTGATATTGTATTACACTGCTTTTGCCAATGTTGTAGTAATACTATTGCACCATATGTAGATGAGGTTTATTCTTTGTTCACCAATGCAGTTATATCAATACACTATGTATTTTCAGTGCTGTTTGTAATCATTTGGAATGTCTTTTAACATATTCGGAAGAGTGTTTGAAACGCTTATGATATCTTGATTCAATTCCCATAGGTGAAGGTTTGAGGAGAAGATTGGATCGCCTGAAAGCCATGGGAGACAGCTGTTTCAAGCAGGATGAGTATAGGGAGGCACTGAAGTGGTACAGAGAAGCCATGGTCCTTGCTGAGAGTGTCACCAACCTTAAACTCGATCTTGCACTTCTACACAGTTCTTGCTCAGCTGTCTATGTTAACTTGGCTATCATGGAAGATGAGGATGAAGAAGGCAGTCCTTCATCTTGCAGAGTACGTGTTCAAGGGGAGCAGAGAAGTGTTTAAATTGGGACTGTGTAAGCAAGGTTTTGCCATAGTTTAATCAGCCTGGCCACTGACTGGTGTTGACTGCTTGACAGTCCTGTGACATCCCAGGGTGTCATGTCAGCTGTATCTTCTGTTTTACCCATTAGGCACCTTGATATATCCTTTGAGCAAGTGAGTTAGTTTTATGCCGCTTTTAGCAATATTCAAGCAATCCCATGATGGGGGACACCAGAAATGCGCTTCACATATTGTACCAATCTGGGGATTGAACCCTGGTCTTCGGCGTGATGACTGAACGCTTTAACCATTAGGTTACCCAACCGCCCTCAGTGAGTAATATTGGTCCCAGAAAGTGAATGAAAGTAGGTTTCATGTCTTTCTGTGACTGACTTTGACCTGGAAAAGGGTGTTTGTGAACTAGGTCATAATGTCACGGTGACTGTGGGAAAGTATGTTTGCCATTTTCACTTCAGATATTGGTGATGGGGTAGCCTAATGGTTGAGGTGTTCGCACATCACACTGAAGACCCAGGTTCAATTTCTCACCTGGGTGGATGGGTACAATGTGTGAAGCCCATTTAAGGTGTCCCCCTCCATGATATTGCTTGAATATTGCTAAAAGTGGTGTAAATCTCAGTCACTGCTGATATGGCCTAGTTGTCTAATATAGCTTCTACATTATTTCAATACATATTTCAAATTTGTTGAGATTTGACAAGTGTTTCTATCAAATGGATTGTGAATGCTGTCTTGAGGCAGGTTCAGTTCAGGCTGAACAGGTGTCAGAAAGGTGTCAATCTTTTCACCACAAACTGTTAACAATAATCCATAAAATATATTGATGTATATTATATTTCATTGATTTCATGTCGTATGTACTATGACCTTTTGCAGGAAATGGAAGAACTACACAGAAAAAAGACCCAGCTTTTATCCTTGTTATCTAATCATAAAATACCAGTACAATTGGATTATGAAGATAATTTGAGCCAAGGACAAGGTGATGGACCAACCAGTACTTCTGCTGATACAACTGTACAATTAGATTATGAAGATGACTTGAGCCAAGGACATGGTGATGGACCAACCAGTAGTTCTCCTGATACAACTGTTTAGTTGGATTATGAAGATTACTTGAGCCAAGGACAAGGTGATGGACCAACCAATGCTTCTCCTGATAAATCCATACAATTGGATTATGAAGATGATTTGAGCCAAGGACAAGGTGATGGGCCAACTAATACTTCTCCTGATGCAACTGTACAGTTGGATTATGAAGATGACTTGAGCCAAGGACAAGGTGATGGACTAACCAATACTTCTCCTGATGCAACTGTACAGTTGGAATATGAAGATGACTTGTGCCAAGGACAAGGTGATGAACCAACCAGTAGTTCTGCTGATACATCAGGACAGTGTAAGGATGAAAGAGCAAGCAGAGCAAGCAAGACAGAAGGTACTGAAAAGGTAGACAATAAGAGTCTGTTCAATGAAAACCTTGATGATAGAGCAAGCCATACAGAATTTGAAAACCCTGTGGATGAATCCAAAAAAGCTATTTTCGACACAGCAGAGAGCAAAGTATTTTTTAAGCAGGGACAGGTAAAAAAAGAACAAGATGATGAGGGTAGACGCAGTCTAGATGTTATCCCAGCCATTATACATTCAAATGTAAGTCAACTTGGCAATGGTGGGACCAATGACAAGCAGCCTGAGGTATCTGGTGTTAAGTCCAAAATATATCAGAAGATTGAAATTCCAGCCAAACCAGAAAAGAAATACCCTTCTGGTATCACAGAAGGTAAAAAGATGCAAGCTGCCAGAATAGCAAAGCCAGAGCACAATCTCCAGATGCTGTCAAAGACTGAAGATGTTCCAAAGGAAGATGGTGACATTCCTGAGATATCTCAAGGTAAATGCTCACTCAATACAGCACCAGGAGTTCCTTCAGAATTAGCTCCAAGACAACTGATAGATTGTACAGAAAAGGAAATGACAGGCCCTATATCAGTGGATGAAACTACTAATGAAGATACTGAGCACTCAAATGAGTCTGATGCTTCTAATATCACTGTAGTATCAAGAAAGCCAGATTCACCCACCACATGTGTGAAAGTAGAGAAATGGCTACAAACCTGTGATAAAAGTCAGCCAAAGTCTCTGAGAGTAGATACAGATGATGTCACTTCTAAGACAGACAAGAATACAGAACAATATACCAAGGACATGACAGTGCCATGTGAAGTTAATCATTCTAAAGATGTTCCAGCAGATTTGAAGATGGATAGTTTGCAGAATGGACAACCTACTCTAAGCACCACTGAGGAAGAGAACTACGCCTTAGAAAAGGTTACAACTGTTGCTGTTGATGACGTCAAGCAAAAGGATAAAGCTATTTGTACACTAAATGATAGCCATTCTTCTGATCCTGTTCCTGATGCTGATAGATCACGTAGTACTACTGATCATTCCAACAAGAATAAGGAACAAACTATGAAGCAGGCTGTTCATATAGATATCCCAGATCATTCAGATGACATTGCTTATAGAGAAATCTGTAATGGAAAGAAACATGTTGTGAGCTCAGTTGATGTAACAGCATGTGACAAACCCACAAGCAAAGACACTGTAAAAAACGAAAGCAAACCAGATGTATTTTCCAGTGAGGTACGTGAAACTGTTCCCAAGGAAAGCAATGCAATTGCCAATTTTGAAGTAACAATTCCTGAAAACACAGGTGTTGCAGCCCATGAGCCAGCCAATGAAAACAAACGAAAGACTCGGAAAAAGAAGAAAAAGAAGGAAAAGAAGAAGTCAGTGGCCATTGACGAGCAAACATCTGAAGCTACACTAGAAAATGATGGTCATGGAATAAATATAAACGAGAATGTTGACAAAGAAAAATCAGTTATTTCTGATACACCTCAAGAGGAAAAGATGAAAATGGTGAAATATGTGGCAGAAAGACCAGTCTTGACAGTTTCAGAATGCAAATCAGATATTTTGGAAATGATCCAAAATTCCAGCTATTCCATTTTGGAGAGCATCAGTGGAGCTACAGGCTATGGACTGGCTGAAAATGCAGATTCTAGAAAGGAGAAGGCTGAAACTGCAGGAGAGAGGAGGGGAGGGAATGATATGGAACTTAAACCAGACCACTTTGATAACTTACCATGGGAAGTAGAGTTCACAGCTGATGCTTGGAAACATCTCAGGAGCAAGAGTGTACAAATGAGACTTAAGCAAAGGGCTGTAAAGATTATCACAGAGCTAGCAAATGGAAACTGGAGGCCAGAATTTTACAAACCTGCCAGCACTAGTACAAGAAATATTTTCACATCAGAACTGTCCAAAACCACTTCATTAATATGGGAGAAAGCTGTTGCATTTTCAGGACGTTGCAGCGATTCTCCAAGTAAAAGAATGCAGAATGAGGATGATGGAAACTTTGCTGTTAAAGGTGGCCGTATTTACACACAGATCATTAGAGTGTGGGATATTGTCTCCAGTGATGATGATTCTCAGAGACTGTTGGATTCAATAAGAAAATCATATAAGAGAGGGAAAATGTCACTGTTGAAAAGAAACTTGCAAGGTTTAGAGAGATCAAATCATACAGACAAACAGAAACATCTTCCATTACTTTTTGCAGAACAAGATATGAGGGTACAAGAAACAATCACTTGCATGTTCTTTCACCCAGCAAGTCCAGATCCAAGGGAATATCATATCCTCAAGTTCTATGCATTTACATCTGCCTTAGTCAACATTGTGCTGTCCAATATGACCAAGAAAGCTGATCTGCCTTTCAAGGTGACTGATAAAGAGCATGCTATCATCCACCTCAGTGGTGAAGCCCCCATCCTCTTGCAGGGAAGAAGTGGGACAGGCAAGACTACGAGTTGCCTGTACAGACTGTGGACAAACTTCATCTCCTACTGGAGGATAGCTCAAGAGAGAGGTGCCCCCTTAATTCCAAGGATGGGCTGGGCCTTTGCAGCACCAGGTAATGTGTACACATATTGATATGTGCATATCACATTTCAGGAGATTCAGATCTGAAATGAAAAATAGTTATTGTTGCCGATAATTCCAGATGAAACTAAATTGACAAATATCAATATCAAATTGACAAATACCTTGTGATATGTAGAATCTCCAGTGGTGTAGAAATATATGAACTGATCAAAAAGTAACCATCTTTGTAACTTTCATTATTTTCACTTTCCTCTGACATGTTTTCCAAACCTTTGGTGATAAAACCCCTTTCATGAGAATAAATATCAGCTTTGAGCATTTATTTAAGAATACCCCTCAATTTTAGAATCAACTGTTGTTTTGGATGATATGGTTCCAGCTGAAGACGATGAGGATGGAAATCCTGAAGATGATGAACAAGCAGATTCTTATGAAGCAGCTGATGTCCAACCTTCCTTTGAGAGACAGGAGGAGGAGGAGGACCAAGACTATGGAGAATATGACCATCTTCATCAGATCTTTGTGACAAAGAATCCTGTGTTGTGCACAGAGGTTCACAAGAACTTCTATGAACTCTGCCATGCTTGTGATGAAACTGCGGACCATGTAGAAGCTGAATGCCAGGAGATCCCTCCTAGACTACAAGATGTTGAGGATCTCAGTTACCCACTTTTCCTTACATCTAAGCAACTGTTAATGATGCTGGATGGCTCACTTGGTCAGCCTTATTTCTTTGAAAGGGGTGAGGACGGTAGTCTGGGTGCAACGGTGCGAGGATGGGAGGAACAAGGAGATGCCTTGGGTATCTCACTCATGGACCAAGACTCTGATGAAGACTTTATGGGAATGAACAATGACTATGATGAAGATGTTCAGCAACAAGAAGCAGCAGCTGGATTAAGACAACGGAAACTGAATCCAAGAAAGGAGGTCACTTATGAGGTATTCGCTTCTACCATTTGGCCAAAGATTAAGAAGAAAGCAAAGTATCATCCATCTTTAGTTTGGACTGAAATCATGTCTTTCATCAAAGGATCCTTTGAAGCATTGGCAACATCAGAAGGACATCTTTCAGAGAAAGACTATATTGAAGTAGGGAGAAAGAAAGCTCCTAATTTTTCAGGATTGAGGAAAACAGTTTATCAACTGTTTGAGAGATATGACTTTTCCAAAAAGCAAAACTTGCTGTTTGATAAGGCAGATCTTGTGTCAGACATTTTCAAACGCTTGAAAAAAATGAATAAATTACCTTGGATAGTGCACCAACTGTATGTTGATGAAACACAAGATTTCACTCAGGCAGAATTAAGTGTCCTCATTCGAATCACACAGCATCCTAATGACATGTTCTTGACAGGGGACACAACTCAGGGGATTATGAGGGGCATCTCCTGCAGGTTTAGTGACCTCAAATCTCTCTTCTTTCAAGCCAAAAAATCACTGGCAGCTGGTAACCAGACAATGCTGAATGAACCAAAGCAAGTGTACCAACTGACACACAGCTACAGATCTCATGGTGGGATCCTTGCCCTTGCCTCAGCAGTCCTGGACCTGATGGTGGAATTCTTCCCAGAATCCTTTGACAAACTGAAAAAGGACCAAGGTCTGCTTGATGGACCGCTACCATTGCTGATGGAGTCTTGCAGCCCGCAGGATCTCGCAATTCTGCTTCAGGTCAGTCTCCTTGTAGTTTGTACAGTTGTCATCATGCATGTGTGTTCAGGGTGCAACTAATCCACAATGAGGCAATTATGATACATATCATGATTATTGGGTAAGGAATATGAAGGACAGTGAATACAATAACAAGACAGCAGTTGGTGTATTATTCACCATGTTCAGGGAAGCAACACAATGAATTATTTGATATGTTTTAGCCAGGATGACAGTGGCAATGACTAGTGACCACATTACTGTCAAATTTAAGATATAAGAGTGTTGGCTGCACTATTTGGTCAGCTATCTTACCCTGCTTTTCTCTGATGACATCGCACTTATATCTGTTACTATTGGAGGGCTACAGAAGCGCATAAATGTTTCAGAAAAGTTTTGTATAGAATATGGTCTCTCATTTCAGATAAGACAAAAGTTGTAAATTTTTCAGAAAGGTTCTATTTTATCAAAAAGAGAAAGTTGGTTTTATAATGGTAAGAACTTGGAGGCTGTAACTTAATATAAGCATCTATGTATAACATGTATAAGGGGCTTGTCTTGGTCTAGTCATTGTTCAAATGCAGCTTTGCACGGTGAAAAGGCTGTATTTGGTGCTCTTAAAATATTAAGTAAGCAAGGTAATATAGATCATGAATATTCTTTAAGATATTTGATATGAAAATAGCTCCTATTTCACTCTCTGGTGCCAAGGTCTGGGGATTTTTTCAGAATGATTATAAGATCTCTTCACCTAATAATATACCTTGTGGTGAATGCAGGTGGTATCCCCTATATCCTAGCCTACCAAAGGGTAATCAAAATTATTAGGTATATATGATTCTCATCATCCAAAAAAGTGCTATTACATGATGTTAAAGGCTTAAGATCATAATAACATTAATTGGGCTTCAAAGTGTTGTACAGTTTAGGTTTGGGTTTTGTTTGGGAACAGCAATTTATTTAGTTTCCTAATTACCGTGTTGGCCTAACTGTATTCATGAACAGCATTGTTAAATTCACTTCAAAATGGCAGCAAATCTATGTCGTATTTACTTCAAAATATCATTTTCCAGGAATTTAAATTTAATTAACATTAAGAAGTTTAGAGTAGCACTCGCTCAGTTTACATGTTTTTCACATCAGTTACCTATTGAAACTGGAAGGTATTATAATACAAATAGAAATGATAGATTACGTTTACAATGAGATGAAGGTTATATTTAGGATGAATACCACCTTCTTCTCCTCGTGTGTTCCAAATTTAAACAGTTCCACTTGAAACATTTACCTTAAACCTATTGTATCAATCCTAGTAATGCTAAATTCAAATTCCTCATGTAATCATCAGATTGTAAACTTATCAATGATTCAGCTAGCTTTATTTATCATGTTATGTATCTAAGATGTTCAAATAATTATTTTGTAGTGTACACACCATGTTTTGCCATGAGCAATGTAACCTATGTAGTTATGGGCCGATCTCTAAATGCCTGTTTTACAGTTCAGACTATGTTACTAGCATGTGAGTGAGTAAGTGAGTGAGTTGGGTTTTACGCCGCTTTTAGCAATATTCCTGCAATATCACAATGGGGGACACCAGAAATGGGCTTAACACATTGTTGTCATGTGGCATGACGAGCGAACGCTTTAACCACTAGGCTACCTCACCATCCCTCACTAGAATGTTTTTGATGACTCAAAATACAATAGTGATGAATCAAGAATTTGCGGGACAACAGGTCTTGAGTGCAATTTGCGTATGACATGTTTTCTGGCCGACAAGAATATATCTGTTATTGGTGAACTATGTTTGGGTCTTCAGGGAAACAACAGAAAAGCCTCCCACATTGAGTTCGGAGCTCACCAGGCCATCCTTGTGGTGAACGATGAAGCCAAGGAGAAGATGCCTGACATGCTGTCCAGGCACAGCATTGTCCTCACAATCTATGAGTCCAAGGGGCTGGAGTTTGATGACATACTGCTCTACAACTTCTTCACAGATTCTCAGGTATTCAACCCACCTTATTCGAAATATTAGCCTCTGCAGGTAAACTATGCAGAAATATTGTAATATTGTAAAGATATTATTGTGTTTCATTTCTTGCTTTACTACTTTAGTTTATCATATACAGTACAATGATATGTTTAACTTAAGCTGATACAAATCAATTTTGGTTAAATTCTAACAAATGTTGTAATTTGACGTACAATGAAAAAACAAGACAAGTGCAATGATCTATTATATGTTTCTCGAAATATATTCAGAGCAAAACTTGTCTATATTGAGGGTAATTAGTTGTCATTTGCATACATTTTACTGACAAGCAACCTGTATGAAAACCATAACCATTATTTACATATGTTATATTTGGGATTACACTTTCTTAGTTAAGTACAGACTTAGTACTTTTGTTGGGTTGAGACCCATCCGGGATTCGAACCCACACCCTCAGAGTCAGGCATGTTACATTTGACCACTTTTGTATATGGCATTGTCTAATCATAGCTGTCATATTTACAATTATCAGAGGTGTACACATAGTCCATAGTCTAAACTACCGATTGTCTGACTTCCATTTTTGTGGAAGTCACGGTGGCTGAGTGGGTCAGGTGGCTGACATTGTGTGCTGGCGATTAGGTGCCTGACTCTGAGGGTGTGGGTTCGAATCCCGGATGGGAATCAACCCAACAAAAGTACTAGAATCTGTACTTTACTAAGAAAGTGTAATCCCAAATATAACATATGTTACATTTGACCACTTTCTATATGGCATTGTGTAATCACATAACCATTTTGTTTTAGGCAGTATGATTCTGTTGCAGCCATATTTTTAAACTTATCATATCTCACGTAGTGTACTCTCTCTCTCTCATGATTTTACAGCTGAGTGGAAACAAAGTGCAATCAAAGTTTTAGCCTCTCTTGATCCATTCACCTAAACACTCCCCACTGCTCCCAATTATGTACAACCTCAGCCTCTGTTAAGCATGCGTCACGCCCCCTGAATGGTCATGTGACTCCTTTGTCTGATCATTCTCTTTCTTGTCACACAGCAGTGCAGACATGCTAAGTAAAGAAGACTCTACAATAAGAAAAAGTAAGTTCTGTTCTCAATGCAAGAACATCTTCACTTCCTCTGACCACCACTCGTCATGTATAGACTGTATTGGAGTATGCAGTTGGGATAAATTATGTACATGTAAGAGATTTTAGGAAGAGATCAGAAGAACATGGATCTTCAGCGGCCAAAAAGTATAAAACAGCATCCTGTTAAAGTGGCCAAGCGCTCAGTTACCCCTGCCTCTGACGGTGAAGGATGTTTGGAGGCATCGTCAGATTCCTACCTGAGTGAGAACTTCAGAAGCAGTCTGACCTAAATCTACGTGTGAGGAGGGTGCGAATCAGCTTGACAGCTCCAGACATTTTCTCCAGATTCAGCAAATCCCTCGGTCTCCTACACTGGAAAAAAAATCCATCTTTCCAAGCTTGGAAATGTCTTGGAAAGATGATGTTTCCAAGACATTTCCAATTTTGGAAAGATGATGTTTCCAAGACTTTCCAATTTTGGAAAGATGATGTTTCCAAAAATTTCCAATCTTGGAAATATCCGCAAGGGGAGATAACTGGTGGGTGATGGTAAATTATTGTTCTGCATGGGCTAATTGCAATAGTGGCATGGGGCGGCATGAGTGTTTCATGGGGTCGTTAAGGCGACTGGCGGTAGTCCTTGATCTTTGGTGTTGTTTTAGTAATGATTGTTTAAGGGGTTAACGAAATGATTATCGACTTGACTAGTCGAAATTGCAGTGAACACATTTTAAGTGTTCAATGTTGTGGGTGAAAAGTGAATTTGTCACGTTGAGTTTAAATATGTATCATCATAAAGCTTATATCTAGTCAGTGAGAGTTAATTTCGTACAAGGGCCACCGACCCGTTTTACAATTATAAAGATGAAAATACAATCCAGCGCCATATATAATATTAAGCTGTATGCTAACGTGTACAATGTCTAATTTAATCTTATACTCTATATTCAAAAAACTTCGCTCTTTTTGTCAATGTTTCACATGGATTATTTATGTAGTATTGTGGGAGAAGGCTGTTTCTCAGATCACAGTAAAATGAACATTCAATAAAGAATTGGTACTCTGATTCAATGGTAAGTACAATACACAGAGGGTAGAATCACTCATGTTGTTTTATATTTACTTTTCGCCCTTATTCCAACATTAAAGGATGGTCTGAACAACGAAACTTACTCAAAGCAAAACGAATCGTTGCGTTGCTGTCAATCGTTGCGTTGCCGTCCTGGGGGGTCGAGTGATGGTGTCACCATGCACTAATTTCCACCGGACCCCGCAGTTCGTGCTAAATCATTTAGTAAATGAGTTATGTTTGTGAGTGCATTACAAGCGTTGTGGAAGCTTGGAACGATATCTTAAATTTGTCCAGATCGCTTCGCGGAAGTTAAAGAATCAAACTACTTACTACTTGTAGTACAATATATATATGATTGATGACCAAACATATTTTCCATGACACAACTTGAAGCATAAAGATTTCTTTCTCGGAAGCGAGGTCGTGGTGGAAGTGACAATAATATTGTAAGTAGTGTTATATTGACACCCACCTCGCTTCCTCGAGAGAAATTGTTATGATATAAGATATATCACGCAAATCCTATTGGACATCAATCAAATACATATTTTACTACCAGTAGAAAGTAGTTTTGATTTTGTAACTCGGTGAAAACAAACCTAAATAGCATTTATTCTCAGACTCGCGGATGTTCGCGACAGTGCGCTGCCATTTTTAATAATCGTAACATGACGGGCTAAAGTCTGTTAAAGAATTAATGAGATTATGGTTTGTTTTCATCAAGTTAGAAAAACAAAACTACTTTCTACTCGTAGTTAAATATGTATTGGAATCATGGCCAACAGGATTTGGCATGACACAACTTATAACATAACGATTTCTTCCTCGGAAGCGAGGTGGGGATCGAAGTGACATACTGCGCAATAAATATCTTGCTACATTCCCATGGTTAATGTCCACTCACCAGTATGTAGATACTAGTCAACGTGCGTCTTTCTAGTTGGTCTTATAATCCTAATTAGTTTATTATCAGGCGATCTGCCTTTACTTATAACTTGAATATCTACACATTGTAAATCATAATTCGCACACACGTCCTAGTGTATGTTGTCTGTCTCATTACTTCACGACGAAATCATGGATTCTGTGGAATGCTGCGACAAATGAATAAAAACAAAATGCAATTATTAAAACTAAAACAGGTAGTTATAATGATGTCAGGCTATTACTTTGTTCGAGGAATGTATCCATCAATATCCATAAAAACGAGCCATTCACCTGCAGCTGTTCCAAATGATGTGTCTTTTAACAGTCTAATACATGTTCACGAAAAGTGATATATCGTTTCAGGTATTTCACATTGGTATATAGTCGCATTGGTCACCCAAGATAGCATACCTGGGAACTAATTGCATAATCTCCGCCATTCTTTACAAAAAAGTAATTTAGTTAGTCAATAATGAGAATCAATGTCTTGGCGGTTAATCCTTTGAAAGAAGGAAGTTGTTTTACGCAGACACAGACACGACAGAGTGTATTTAGTATTGATTAGTAAATGTACATACATAAACACTACCTTTCGAAAAATCCGCTGTGTAAGATAAAAGTATGGGTTAATCCTTTGATCGATGTTTATAATGTTGAGTATTTACTCCAGACACAAGAAATGCAAAATGGGAACCTTTGTCGGGTTATCTAAGTGGTGTTACCACTAATTATACCTGTTATAAATTCATTAACTGACCATCAAGTGAATGATGACAAATGACATGTGTAGGTTTATACCACCTAACACGGGTTACAACAAGGGAGTATTAATTGCTGTACTGCGTGCAATTTTAATTGCATGTGAAAACCTATGGGCCGACACTATTTTGAGAATACGGACAGAACTTCATTGTTGCAAAAGAAATACATATAAGCATTTGCTGTGTGCTAAAACTGTATTTACCTATTTACCTAAGTAAATTTTCAGAGTCTTCTAGCAATAGCAAAGTGCAAGGATGTGTTAAAAAGGAATAACGCAGTCAAACAGTTGCTGTTCGAATTGCATGAAATATGCTAAAAGCATGACATATTCAAGAACAATGTTTCCAATTTTGGAAATGTCCACAAGGGGAGATAACTGGTGGGTGATGGTAAATTATTGTTCTTTGCACGCCCTAGGACCTAATCCCTTGTTGATTGATGAGTGAGTCAAGGCAGTTAAGAGTCACCAATTAACAAGGCCTACTGCCTTAGCCTTATGCCTCTTAAAGAAGTCTCTGGAAGTAAGTTAAATCTTTGATGTGCATTAAGAAGTGGAATGCATTACTTTGACCTGATTTTCACCTGATGAAGGAGCAAGCATATGCTCCGAAACTTCGTGTTATTCACAATAGAGAAGCAGACATCCATAAATCTTGTTTTTCTTATTAAAAAGGTAAGTTATTAAAATCTGCTGAGCTGTAGGTTTGTTAATCATGTCGCGATGTGATTATCGCTCTAACACACCTGAGAGATTTGTCAACGGTGTGGTATGCACAGGCGGTGAAAATTGTATTGTATTACATTGGGTTGGTTGCATATTGTTAACATTATTCCATGGTCAATATCGCAATGTTTCTGAAATGGTAGTATACGGAAGTTTGTTCCACATTTTTGATAATTTATAGAGTGATTCTTATCAAATTAGATATTTCTTTATCGTCCGAACAGAATTCACAAATTACGGATGTTTTGTGTGTGTGTGTGTGTGTGTGTGTGTGTGTGTGTGTGTGTGTGTGTGTGTGTGTGTGTGTGTGTGTGTGCATGCACGCGTGTATAACATCTATAACTTGATAGGTATTAATTAAAATCAGGCCGATTGTAACCATAATGACTATATTGGATGGAACACTCCAAGAACAAAAATAATTTCACTCTTCAA